AACAAGTCTATTAGAGCATTCACCAGCCTGGTCTGGAAGAATGGAATTTGTTGATAGGTCATGATGCAAAGGGCCTAGGATATGCTTTAGACTGTTATTATATGCCGCCCAGTCTTCTTTTGATAAAATTGGAGCCTCGAATGAAATTCTCGGCTGGCTTGGTCCAAAGCTGACATGCGAATCACACAATGGTTGGCCTTCCATGTGAATACGCAGGTGGTGTTGATTCAGCTAGCGTTAGGCTAGCGTTTCAGCCTAGCTTGCTTAACACAAAAAACATGTAAAAAATCGGCAAGATGAATTACATAATATCCACAAAATGAGAATGATCCACTATAAAAGAACAAACCACAAATCAAAACAAGCAAGAAACAACAAGGGCTGGAATTGACTCTCATGCAACATTTGCGGCGGAGCTAAAATGAGAGCGACCGACCAGCAGCCGTCCAACCAATGAGTATTATTACAAATGAGTTTAATGAGTAAAATTGTCATTTTATTCATTAATTTATTTCCTTAATCCTTAGTTGCCTTACAGCCACCTGCTGTTTATTCACCATAATTATTTCACTTTTGTTTATATCAACTTGTTTGTAGGCCCGATGATACCTTTTGTTATTATAATTAAGTCATCATGATTAAGTCTGACCAATCGCCTATTAGATACCGTATTATTGTATTGTATTGTTCCAACTTTGCCATAATGTTAATCAGTCATGCTGAAGAGGACCTGAGGTCAGGTCGAAATATTCATGTTGTAATAAAATAGTGTTCTAAAGTCTACTCCGTTTCCTGTTTTTCTTTCTTCTTTATATATATATACACACGCACGCACGCACGCACGCACGCACGCACGCACGCACGCACACACACACACACACACACACACATACGTGTATATGGTGTAAACTGAGGACGTGTGTTAAAAACGTCACAATAGAGGACGCCTCAAATAATGCTTTTTGGGGGAAAAAATATGCATTTTTATACTTTATGTAAAAAGTAATATGTAAATATATAGTTAATAAAATACAAATATTTTTTAAAGTCAATTCGAATTTGTACATATAAATCGAGGACACAACATACATTTTATGAAACACAGTAACGACACACAGGACATGTTTAAAATGCACACAAGCGAGGACACAGGACAACACACAGGACATGTTTAAAATGCACATAAGCGAGGACACAGGACAACACACAGGACATGTTTAAAATGCACACAAGCGAGGACACAGGACAACACACAAGACATATTTAAAATGCAGACAAGCGAGGACACACATATGGTGTAAGCTGAGGACGTGTTTTTAAAAATTCATAATAAAAAAAACGTCCCAAATCATTGTTTTTTATTTTTCAAAGAAAACATACCTTGCTTATATTTTTTGTCGAAAGTGGTATATTAAAAAAAATGATAAATAAAAATTAAACTCAACACAATGAGTATAAAACAAGTATGTCGTCAGTTGTATGCTGAAAGATCAAAGTGTTGCTTTATTTCCTTGGTGTGTATGTTGTACCTTCAATATTGACATACATTCAAATTACTTCAAAAAATATAATTATGCAGTACAGAATTTACAAATCACCTTTCACAAAAAATTTAAAATTAGGCCTAATGTGCTTTTCACAAAAAAACAAAAACAAAAACAAAAAAACAAAACTCGTTATCTGAGGAGTCCTCTATTGTAGCATTTTAAACATATCCTCAATTTACACCATACAGTATATGTGTGTGTCCTCGTTAGTAGTGTAAAATTCCACCTTTTGTGTGTCCTAAGTTGTTCAATAGAAGCTCAGTGTTGCGGTGTGTCCTAATTGATAAGAAGTGAATAACATAATTAGGCCTATTTTCCTATCATTATGACTGATAGTGCTTCTTTAAATTTTGAAACTTGAAACTGGCCCTCTGGGATCTGTGATTCTGTCTTTTGTATGACGTTTAGGATAAAATATTGAGTACTATGCTAGAAAATTAGGAAATGGCTGGAAAACTTGCCCCTGAAATGATAAATGAAAATTAAACTCACCGCAATGAACTGATAAGTTGTTCCGGCCTCCTCCTATTTTCACTGATGTCAAACATGTAACGTTTATTTACTTAACGTTACATAAAGAAGAAACGCAAACAAAATAATTACCAAAATGAAAAGGATAGTAAGAGCAATAATTATTCTTTTTGTGTATTTCTCGAGCCTTCGTATTTGCTCCACATACGTGGGATAACAGACCATTACGTTGTCGGCCATTTTAAACTCACCGCATGTTCGTAAACTTTTCGTGCCGAGAGAGGCGGGCTCTAATTGTGTCATTCACTTCTTATCAAGGGCACACCGCGACACTGAGCTTTTATAGAACAACCTAGGACACACAAGGTGGAATTTTACAATACTAACGAGGACACTCGTCGTGTTTAAAACACATGTCGTGTTTAAAACGCTACAATGGAGGACTCCTCAGATAACGGGTTTTTTTCCCCTTTTTTTTGCTTTGTGAAAAGCATATGATCTTTACATGTGGTGTGAAAAGTGATTTGTGTACTGTATACATATTTTGATGTAATTTGAATTTGTCTGTCAATATTGAGGGTAGGCCTGCACATACACATCAATAAAACAAAGCAACACTCGAGCTTTCAGCATACAATTGAGGACGTACTTGCTTTTACAACTAATGACACATAAAGTGAAAGTTCATTATGCAAAGCAGGACACACAATGTGAAAATGTATTATAAAATTGGACAAACATAAAAGAGTTTATTTCGTTTCTCTGTACAATTTAAAAGGTTAATGAAAAAAAAGCAAAGGATTTCCGCATGTCCGATTTCAGTCTGTCGGCGGTCTGTCAATCATATTCAAGGAGAGGTTCAAATTTATGTAATTGATATACAGTACTGAAAAAAGTAAATTACACAAAGCGTCTATGATTTTCCGGCTTATAGCAGGTTGGTATTCCATATAGTTTTGGTCTATATCCCATCTTACTGTCGATCTGCGTGAAATAAATGTAGAAAAATTGGTTGTATCTTAAGTATATACACTATTCAGCAATAATGAGCAAATTCAGATAATAATTGAACATTTTGAATGTATTTTATTACACTATGTAAACTCTATATTTTTTAAAAGAACATACTTCCTTATTTATTCTTTATATGAAAGGATGTAACAATGTAAACAAACATGCTAACTCCATACAAATTAAAATTCAACTGGAATTTGATAACTTTTATACATGTACAGGCCAATAGAGTTTGCATCAACTATGTACAGAGTGTATTTTAAAACAACGAGGATCAATGCCTACAAGGCATACAATAAATCACGATTTTAATTTAAATTAAAAGCTTAAATTTAAAACGCAATTCAAACCAAAATAAGTAAAGTAATAATGTACTCCTCTGGTCGTCCTGACTTATAGGCTCATTCATTTTTATCATAATTACTTGTAGGCTTTCTTTTCTATGCATAGACCTCTGTGAGCTATTATTGTCACAAAAAAAACAACACTTGTATACGGTATGTATTCGAATTTGGTATTACTTTAAATTCAAAACAAATTTGGAATGTAATTCTAAGCAGAATATATAAAAAAACATCTTTTCTATACCTACTAACTAGGTTTCCGTGGCTACAGCCACAATCTTTCCAATCACTATTCTTACTTTAATTTCAAAGAACATAGGCTAGATTTTAAATTTAATTCAAAGCAGAATATGCAAAAATATTAATGAATCTCTTAGAGTGGTCCTAAGTATTCATTAATTAATGTATGCATTATCTCTATGCCTACTGAACCCTTGTAGCCTACAGTTACAAAAAAGAAAAGCAATGAGATGATTAAAATAGTCCAGATTTTACAATTCTATATAAAATGATCAGAGTGTATTTATGACAATCACTGAGCTTGGCTAGCGTGTCCAAAATAATAGATATTAAAACATTAAACTTTATACCCTTCATTGGTTCAACAGCTTATTATTAAAAAATGAAAAGCACTTGCTGACATTGAAAATCACTATTCTTACTATAAATTTAGAACATCAATTTAAAATGTAATTCAAAACAGAATATATATAGGGTTTATTTCTAAGCCTATTAGACCTTAATGGTAGGCTAGAGAGGCATACAAAATGAAAAGCAATGATGACATGAGTACTTTAAAACAATTCCAAATTTTTCCATTTCAGGAAGGAATAATTTTGTTTTTAAATGTTTAAAATAAACCACATTTTTACAATTCTATATTATAAAATGATCAATGAGGCTATCACTGAACCTGGCATGTCCAAAAAATTAATATCAAATTATTAAACGTTCCCTTCATTGTTTCAAGAGCTTACTATTAAAAAAAAGCAATTGTTGACATTCAAATTTTTCAATCACTATACTTACTAAAAATTTTAGAATATCAATTTAAAATGTAATTCAAAGCGGAATATGTATAAATAATAATGAATATTTTCTGGTGGTCTTGAATATTTATTTTACTACTGTAGGCTTAATTTCTATACCTACTAGACCTCTTTGGCTACAGTCACAAAAAATGAAAAGCACTTGTTAATGTATGTTAATTTTCAAGCACAATTCTTACTTGAAATTTAAAGCATGTATTATAATAATGTGTCTCTTAGGGTGGTCCTGATTATTCATTTTTACTAGAGTTACTGTAGGGTTTTCTATGCTTCTTAAACCTCTGTTGGCTAAAGTCATACAAAATGAAAAGCAATGATGACATGAGTGCGATGACTTGAAAAACAATTCCAAATTTTTCCATTGCAGGAATGGAATAATTGTTTTTCAATGTGTAATATAATCCGATATTACAATTTCATATTATAAAATTATCAGAGTTTATTTATGACAATAAAGGTATCGCTGAATAACTGTAGGCTATGTCTCTGCATACTAGACCTCTGTATGCTCCAGCACAAAAAGAAAACATTTTAAAAGTTTCCAAAATAATAGATTTAAAACTTTAAACAATATACACTTTATTGTTTCAACAGCTTGTTTTTGTTGTTTCGGCAGTAATCCTTTATGTTTTTCCACGTTCTATCCTTTAAAACTGGATATTTTCTTTGCAGATTTGTGATTGTTTCTTTTCCAGGAAGTTTTAGATGCAGCATTGGTGCAATTGTCTGTATTGCTGTGATTTCTGCCTCACTCCATTTTCTTTTAGTGCCCCTGGGTTGGGCATGCTCTACATGTAAAAGGAAAATCAGAAATTACTCAGAATAAGCGGTAGTAAGACAGATTCAGAATATGTCACCCCAATTAATTGCAATCACTGAACCGTATAAATTGAAAAGTTTTAAATTTACCTCTTGCAGAATCCATTGAACCTTCATCTCCGCCAACATTTTCCTTGTCGCTATCAGACTCATCTGAATAGATAATAATATATTTAATACAGATCAATACAGGCTATAGAAAATAAAATTGAGGAAGACTCTACTAGCTGTAGATATGTCTTGTTTATTAACTGCTAATTGTTTATATGTTGTATAATTTTTGGTATTATTGTTGTTATTCATATTCAAAATTTCCTTTTCTATTATTATCTGGTTATGATTTTGTGGTAACAAAATATCTGTGAAATAATGTTCAATAATAATAGTAATAATAATTATTGACAACCAAATGAGTATTCAGATAAAGATAATTTACCGCTAGAGAGATTATTTTCACTTTCGATGGTGATGTTTTGCAGATTTTTCCCTTGCTGAGTAGGCAACTTTCCATTCTCTAAAGAAATAAACAATTTTGATAGCTTAGCCACTCTAAGAACTGTGTCCGGAACTTGGTAGTATTGTCGATGTACTCGTAAGTCATGACCCATAAAAGAGGCCAGCAAGTTCAGCTCGTTTTCACTTAATGAAAGAATCTGAGATGAAGTTGCGACATGTTTCCTCAGCTTAGTAGATCTGAATACGTCTTCATTCCCAAGTTGTGCCAAAGCTGCATGCTTTCTTAGACAATCAGATCCTCTTATGTGTCCACTGCTTGAATACATTGAACAAGCAAACAAAAATACATTACTCTCTGCCACTCCGATTGTACGTCTTTTCTCAACTAGTAATTCCAGTCTCTCAATCATCTCCTTTGACAACAACACTGGCACAGTTCTCCCTTTTTTCCCTACGATCTCAACAAGTTGCAGTATCTTACAAAGATTAAGTTCCAACTTGCTAAGAATACACATATCATCAGGATTGGCATGATGTCTATTTTCAAAGTCTTCCAACTTCATTTTCGAAACTTCTCCTTGACGCCTTCTGTTAAAAATAATTACTTGACAGAGAACAATTTCGTTTAGGTTTCTCCATGCATTACTACAACTGTTACCATCATCAGCCCGCACAATACGAGCTTCCTCTTCCCCAACATCATGCAGATATGTTTTCATTTTCACAACATCTGCATTGGTAGGTAGGATTAGCGGCTTATTGCGCTTCGTCTCTGCAAGTGTTCTAAGTGCATGTGATGACACATTTACATCCCAATTCATTTCTATTACACTCATGAAGTTGTTAGCAATCTCAGCAGCTTCTTTGTTGTTTACCTCCAATGCTCTTGATTTCATTATTAATGCACATTTGTTGAGTGAATGTCCAATTTTCAGTGCTAGTGATGGGACTTTATAGGTATAATTTTCCTTGTTATAACCGGCAATGTCATTGACTGCTGTCACAATGTCTCTTACTTTTGTAGGGTGTATGAATGAATCTAAAGAGGCATTTGGCTGTTTAACATTCTTTCTAAGTTGCAGTAGTAACCTACCCAGCTCTCTTAATTTTGTTTTCAGATAATTGTACTGTTCCACATCATGACCAAGCTTTAAAACTTCCCTCATACCAAAGTCTAATATTAGATTATCACTCTTTAATGCCATAAATACATCATCTACCTTCATATGCACTAGTACTTTATTTAATTCCACTGAAATTCCAGTTGCTGGTGGTTTCAGTAACTTGCTGTCTTTGACTCTCCTGCCGTGCAGCTTTTGTTTGGTATTTGTTTGATTCTCTTCCTTTTTGGGCAGAAGTGAACATTTATGTTTCCAGAGGTCTCTGAGAACATAGTAACCCATACAATGAGGACATGGTCCATAATCATCAGGGCTGACATTGCTATCTGTTGGCCTGTAAGCAACCAGTAGATCTCCTTCTCCTTTTCTAATTACTTTACAATTGTGTATGTGATTCCCTAAATTACGAATTTTACACAACATTTGACTTCTTTTTTCAGGAGACTTCTCTAAGCTCAAAAGAATGATATCTCTTTCACTTTTATGCATAGATTCTAGATGTCTTGGAAGTTTAGCAAAAGATTTTTCACAGAAACAGCACCATTGCTTCTTGTCCCATTTTCTTTGTCCAACATTTGATGTTGATAAAACCTTTATTGTGTTTGGTTCATGAACTTTTTTTGTATTTGTATGTATATTCTCTAACCTTGGAAGGGTGGCTAACACAGGAATTACATATGAACTATCCGAATCTTCTGCTTGTTCATCTACATCCGAACTATCTGAATCATCTACATATGAACTATCTGAATTTACTGCTCGTTCATCTACATCCAAACTATCCGAATCTTCTGCTCGTTCATCTACACCCAAAATAGCTGAATTTTGTACTCGTTCTTCTATATCCATACTATCTGAATCTTCTGCTATTTCATCTACATCCGAACTATCTGAAGCTTGTACTTGTTCATGTACATCCAAACTATCTGAATTTTCTACTCGTTCTTCTATATCCATACTATCTGAATCTTCCGCTCCTTCATCTACATCCACACTATCTGCAGCTTCTACTTGTTCTTCTATAGCCATACTATCTAAATATTCTACTCCTTCATCTACATCCGAAGTGTCTAAATCATCTGCCCGTTCACCTACATCCGAACTATCTGAAGCTTCTTCTTGCTCATCTACATCCAAACTATCTAAATCATCTGCCCGTTCACCTACATCCGAACTATCTGAAGCTTCTTCTTGCTCATCTACATCCAAACTATCTGAATCCTCTACTCGTTCATCTACATCCAAACTATCTGAAGCTCCTCGTTCATCTACGTCCAAACTATCTGAAGATTTTACTTGTTCATCTACATCCAAACTATCTGAAGCTTTTACTTGTTCATCTACATCTAAACTATCTGCATCCTCTACTCGTTCATCTACATCCAAACTATCTGAAGCTTCTACTCGTTCATCTACATCCAAACTATTCAAAGCTGCTACTTGTTCATCTACATTCAAATTATCTGAAGCTTTTACTTGTTCATCTATATTTATACTATCTGAATCTTCTGCTTCTTCATCTAAATCCAAACTGTCTGAATCATCTGCTCTTTCACCTACATCCAAACTATCTGAAGCTTCTTCTTGCTCATCTACATCCAAACCATCTGAATCATCTGCTTGTTTATCTACATCTTTATTGTCCGAGTCATTAGAAATCTACGTTAAAAAATATAAATTAAATATGAAATGTAATAAAAAATACAACTAGATGGATTTATTCAGTTTACACCTAGGATAACCCACAGAAGTCTAAGAATTACATGTCAAATTCACTTAAATTTGAATGGGAATCAACCAATTAAAAACACATAGATATTATTAGGGAATAGGCATAATATTACAGCTCTTTAAGTGTGTTATCTATCTTGTAGACTATTCTGCAGGCTATGTTCATACACGGTAGCTAACAGTTAGCAGGATCTGGATCCTGCTAACTGTTAGCTGCAGTGTGTTCATACAAGGCAATTCCCAATCCAGATACCAAGAATGATGACTGAATCACTGGCAAATAGGAAACTGGAAATTGGAAACACGTAACTTGCTAACCGATAACGCTCGCCAACAGTTAGTGTATTCGGACCCTGGTAACAGTTATCGCTAACCGATAGGGCATTCACACATAGGTGCTAACGGTTAGCGTTAACGGTTAGCTCCTTACCCGGATACTAGGGCTTTTATGTGAACTTGACCGCAGTGTTTTTAAAGAAATATATTTAAAATGTAGGTTTTATATAGGGGTTATATGTGAAAATAAAAAACACTAAAAAATTAATTATACAAACCACTGCTTGAATGACATAAAAATGTAGAAATTTCAGTGTAGCACTGTAGTGAGAATAATTACAAATACTAGGATAGAAAACGTATGCTAATTAATTGAGCTAGCCTTGCCTGGGCCTAACCTAGACGATTTTCTGATCGGTGTATAGGCCGCAAGCCGAATTTCAGAGTTTAAATCGCGTATAAAATTTGCGGCTTATACACTGGAATATATAGTAATAAAATAATAACAAATATACTGTGTTTTATAGTTAATGGGATAAACTGTATAATACTGTAAATGTATAAATAATTGTCTGTTAGAATTACTTCATAGATAGAAGAATGGTTCAACCAGGAGCTTCAAATTACAAGGTAATTTCACTCACCTGCTTTGCGGAACTCAGATAAATATAAGTAATAAAACAAAACAAGTATGTACTCACTTGATGTTCAAACAAATATCTTGTTAGTCTATCTTCATGGTATTGAACTTTATACTTGCCTATAAAAAGAACATGACAATAATGCTGCACATAACACGCTCTACTGTATTTCGTATCTGTCTACAGTACATTGCAAAAGTGGAATCAATAATGCCACAATTAATGGTCAATTTTTCATTGAAAATAAATTCATTTTGAATAAGACAAGCACTACCAAAGGTCAAGTATTCATATTTTTACTTACAAATCATTCAGGATATGAAAAACAAATTCTTTAAAAATTTACATATCCACTGTCAGTTTGAAAAAAGCACTTCAAACAATAAATATTATACAATAAATATGGAATCATGCTGTCAAAATTCTTCCAGAAGTGCTATCAATTCAATATTCAATATTATAACGCACCAAATAGATCCCACTTATTTGATTGGTTGATTTGGTACCACATGACATTAGTTATCTTTCTCATTTCACAACTCATGAAAATTCTGTTCCATCATGCACTTTTTTTCCATCCATTGCACATTGCCTATGGGCAATTCCATGAAAGTGCTATGGGCAATTCCATGAAAATGTGGACATGGACCAACAAATTAAAGTTAATGTAATGAAGCCAAATGTCATCAATTTGATTTGTATACAAGTGTGTGGAAACACTAAATACCAATAGTTTACATGCTGTCTACGCAAAATCTGAGCCGAAAACTGAAATGATGCAAACTAATAATTCAAAATTTAACTGAAAATAATGCAATTTTCCAACACATGTTATTAAATCCACAGGAAGGTTTTCGATTCAATTTGTACTTTGTCATATTTGACATAATTTTCATGTGAAAAAAAGTTTTAAAAATAATATTAATTCAGTTAAGTTACAGCAGCATGCCATCTGTAAATATTTGCATCGGACCATGCTAAAAATTTGCGCAAAATATGTGCGGAATTAGGCCCTCATTTTTACATGGATTTCTAGTCTAGCCTAGGCCTAGGTTTTGCGCGGAGCCTTACACCAGGTCAGAACTAGGCCAGACTAGCTACAGTAGGCCTAAGCTGAACCGATTTGAGCAGATGGGCCCCGCCTGAGGGTGGGGGTGAGGTAAAATGTTGGTCTGTGGCCAGTGGTCATCAAGCTTATAACTAAGCCATATTCCCACAGCAGGCGACAGGCCTTACTTTTTTAACAGTCTGGGAAACTTGTTGCTTGGAAGATGATCAAATGATCTCATGACGAAATTCTTCCCCTTAGAAGAAACGGTCACTGGTGGGTTGGATTATTGATTGCTAATTGCCTGCATGCTGCCTAAACGGCCTTCCCAACTTGTAAAGACCTTGGTTGGTGAAAATCGGACACAGTTCAGTCTCATCATATAGGTCAAATTTCAGAAAGTTTAATTATACACAAATTCCAAATCTAATGTTATTATTTAAAACATAAATTGTTTTTATCCAAAACCAAAATTTGACGATAATTAATGAAAAAGACAGTGGCTGTTTGTGCATTTACTTTACGTTTTTCCCGAAATTGTCCGAACGTAAACCGTGACACAGCGATCGGGACTAGGCCAAAAAGATGCATCAATATTTTATTAGTTCTCCAATAAAAAGATAGTAATTTTGGACATTTCCAATACACATATGTACTGAATATGACATGGTGTATTGGTGTTTATGCTGGCCTAAATAAATATAAGAATACGATTCTTTCTAGCCTGTCTATCTTTTATATTTTATGATCGTGTGTACGGCAATGTTTACTCACACATTCCCGGCTATCCAGGGGCTATTCTACAGCTGAAGTATTTTAATCTAGGCTCAAAAAAGTAGTGAGTCTCTATTTTATAGGGCCTCCGAATCGAGCGATGAATATTTAGTTGACTATTAGAATTTAGGTACAGAGAATAAGTCGTCATATTAAAATCAAATATGCTAAACTGATTTTATAACTGATGCTGTATCTTCATTGCATACGAATTATATAGACGATTGCTCGCTCTCACGGCCTGTGCACAACAAGAAGCAAGCCATGTGCTTGAGTAGCGGGCGATTTAGAACCGTCCATTTTGCGGCAGGGTATTCATTTTGTATTATAACGATAAATACACATGTTAAATATCATATTTAAACATGTGTATTAATCATTATAATACACATGTTTAATTATATTAATATTTAAACATGTTTATTAATCGTTATAATACACATGTTCAAATATTTTTATAATAAACTTCACTGGGTACACAATGGTTCGGTGTTGGGATGTCTGTGGTAGTAGGCTACGATCTTATTACTTTTGTTTGTTATGCATCGTAATTTTCCCGATTTTTAGGGGTGAAAACAATTTGTATTTTCTTTTTAATTATAGTATAAACAAGAACATTTCCCAAAAAAAAAAAAAATTTTGCGAGAAAATCAGCTGCTTCTGTTTGTTACGAACTGCCACACCTAACTATGCGCTCCCGATTATCAGATTATAACTTTACTTTTTATTGAAAATGTAGGAATATGTTTAAGAGAGTATTAATTGTTGTACTAGCTAGATTGTAGGTATTAATTATGTTTACCGTGCCAGACCATTGTAAACGAAACATCCCTCGCTCATCAGTAATCTTCCTAGGCCTAAATACAATACACTACGTGACCTTCGCGAGCCGCCGGCAGCGGGTAATAAATTTGAGGTAAACAGTGAACCTGTCACCCGACCTGTCACAAGTGACAGGGGGTTGGATGATCGATTATCCGAGTTGGTCGGGTACCAGGACTGAAATCGCTAAGGGAAGATTTTCGGCATGTGGATCTATTTAGGTGTGTTATAAAGCAAATTATGAATGTTTTGTATTCGTGCAATGAGAAGAATATTTTCACGAGCTGAAATATTGACTGTTGAACAGTCAATCTTTCAACTCGTGAAAATATTCTTCTCATTGCACTCATAAACATTCATTATTTGTATATTAACCCATAAAAAAGGTGTATTAAGATGAAAACAATGTTACTGAGAATTTTCTGATTTATTTTCACTTTGATCCTCTATATAATCGATGAACCAAATTAAAATAATAAATAAATAAATAAACAATATATTTTATGATCTTAGACCATGAATATAAAACAAAGAATACTATATTGGTGGCCCAAAGTGAAAATCAGTAAATATTTGTTGCATGCTTTTAATAGTGAAAATTGATGCCTACCTCTAATAAACTCCTTTATGCTGGCTGGGTGCCATGTTCCACTTGGTGGCCATAAGGCCATAACTCTATCACCTACTGCAAACTAAAAATCAAGCAATATCTTAAAAACACTGTATAAAAACATTTACCATACATCAATAATATGAAACGAAAGAATTATTCCGTCCCATAAGAACACAAAGATAAATAAACACACACCGTCAGCAAGCATTAAAGAATTTTGTGGCTCAGTCTATATTTAAATTCTCTTGAATTTGCATTAATACACTCACAAAAACTGTCTTTGTGAGTTTTTATTGAAAAAACAAAATTAAGTAAAAGCAAGCTTGGTTTATACAGTAGTTTAAGTGATTTAATGCCAGTTAATCACACTCAGTGACACAGATTGAATGTTATAATGGCCTTAATTATTGTTTTATACTACAAATTCACAAAATTTACAGCATTCATTTTGAAAAGAAGCCCCAACCCCCCTCTTTGCTTTGCACAAATAGCCTAAAAAAGAAGAACATCTCGAAAAGAAGCCCATCTCGAAAAGCTCCTCCAAATTTTGCAAAAAAACAAAAAAGAAGCCCAGGACTTCAATGTTTTACAATATACCATAATCAACCAGTTTTAAAAACAATTTATGGCGGTGGTGGACATGACTATCAAAGTTTTGGAATAAAAAAAAATGTTTTCACTTGGTTTTAGTCCTAAAATAGTGTGACAAACTTAATGACATTATACTTACATTCCCCTGCACCTGCCTTCTTCGTCTACCTTGTTGCATCGTACTTGCATAGAATAATCTGTAATTAAAATTATTAATGAATCATTTTCGAAAATTAAATAGTCAGGGCAAGTTTGAGAAGATTGTGGATATGTAAAAATTTAAGGTGATAAATTTGTCAATTAAACTGGGGGTTTTCATGAGACAGATGCAGGATGTTTTATGGATGTTGCCCAAGATCTTCCTGAGGGGAATAATTATAAAAAATAAATTTGATGAAATATTTCATAATATTAAATAATTGGCACTCCCTGTGATCTTCATGATTAGGTACTTTTTGAGAATTTGGCAATTCTCAATTTCATGTAAGAAAACATATTAGTAGGCAGCTGTGCCTATATATGGAATAAAAATCTTACATATGTTTTCCGACTTTGAGGCTTAGTGTTCGCACATACAGGTCAGGCCTTAGCAGTTATCTATTAAAATTTAATTGTATGATTGTCATCTATGCATCTAATCAAATATTAAGGCAAATTTAGGCTAATTCAACATTGAGTAGTGTACTTAGGCCACCAAATTAAAAAAAAATTGTGTTGGCCACATTTTGTGAAAATAAAAAAAATGAGTGGGTTGGTAGAAAAATTGTTATTTTTTTAAACAAAAATACAACAAAGACCATTTATAAATCTATATTGAAGAACAAGATATTCGCAACACTGTCGCATTACCTACCGTCGCAAGATAAAAGCCCATTCTGGCCATTTTACCTCATAAAACACATATTTTTTGTTGTAGTTAAAAAGAAAATGCCGACCCTCAATTTCAAGCATTTTGGGTTGGTTGGGCATGGCCAGCACAATATTGTTTTTTTTTATTTGGCCTTATCAAAATGCAATTTAAGTTTTACTTCCGTGTTTACATTATTCTGGGACTTACGTTGAAGGTAAGTTTACAAATCGTGAGTGGCACATCAAATTAAAGCGCTTTGTATTAACGTCATAATCATGGGAAAACGATAAAATAATAGTAGTAACAATGATTTTATTGTTTTTCAATAATTATGATTTCATTTGAATGGACTTGTCAAGACATTTTGTTATCATACACAGATAAATCGTTATTGAATCATCTTAGTGTAAAAACCTCGCTCATGTCTTTTATTTACTAATACTATACAACAATTGCTTTTAACTCTTTATCATTATCTTTGCAAGTAAACAGGCCTTAAACAGCCCAGTGAACTAGGCCCTAGTTTAGTTTTCTTTGCCTTAGGCAGGGCCGGCAAGAGGGGAAACTGTAACAGGGGCAAGGGTTAGTGATAAAAGCCCATTCTGGCCATTTTACCTCATAAAACACATATTTTTTGTTGTAGTTAAAAAGAAAATGCCGACCCTCAATTTCAAGCATTTTGGGTTGGTTGGGCATGGCCAGCACAATATTGTTTTTTTTTATTTGGCCTTATCAAAATGCAATTTAAGTTTTACTTCCGTGTTTACATTATTCTGGGACTTACGTTGAAGGTAAGTTTACAAATCGTGAGTGGCACATCAAATTAAAGCGCTTTGTATTAATGTCATAATCATGGGAAAACGATAAAATAATAGTAGTAACAATGATTTTATTGTTTTTCAATAATTATGATTTCATTTGAATGGACTTGTCAAGACATTTTGTTATCATACACAGATAAATCGTTATTGAATCATCTTAGTGTAAAAACCTCGCTCATGTCTTTTATTTACTAATACTATACAACAATTGCTTTTAACTCTTTATTGTTATCTTTGCAAGTAAACAGGCCTTAAACAGCCCAGTGAACTAGGCCCTAGTTTAGTTTTCTTTGCCTTAGGCAGGGCCGGCAAGAGGGGAAACTGTAACAGGGGCAAGGGTTATGTGTGGGGCCCCAGCCAGTTACAAGTGTGAAGCGCGAGAAAGATAGCACCAAAACCAAAAAAAAAAAAAATGTTGAAGGGGCCCACTGTAAATCTGGAGGGCCCATGAGACCCATGCTAGGTATGTTAGAAGAGTGACGTCACGGGCTGTTATCGTTGTCGCGACGCCGATGCTGATTGTTTTGGTTTTGCATCTTGCATCCAGATTAGAGAAAATCGTATTAAATCGTTTATTGGTTACATTCGCTAACCTTTGAACTTATTTACAAAGTAAACAGGTCAAAGTTTACTTGCACTATTTAAAAATATTTTTTTCATTGATCGGTCATGGAGTTACAGTGTACGGAACTTTTTCTTTGAAATAAAGCATCATTTACACATATTTTGTAAGCTCTGTAAATTTTAAAAACCATCCTGTAATTTTAAGAATTATATATTTAATATCTATGCCAAGTATGAATTAGATCTGATGCTACTCAACAATTTTTTTGATTTTTTTCAAATCTTACGACTCTCGAGTCCGATGCATAAAAATGTCCGCTGATCGAAAGATGTGTACATTGGAGGATGATTCAAACGGCATAATTGTTATTAAATTTACACATAAAATCTGTATTACTGATGAATATGTCCAATATAATCATTGCTTAGTATTATATAATAGAATATTTTAAAAGATTCTGATTTATTATAATGATATTTTGCGATTAATATACCCGTGTATAATTGAGAATTACCGTCACGAAATTGCATATGGCGTCTTATTTGGCAATTCTGGCCTGTAATTGGTCTGTATAGATCACTTGACATTGAATTTGAAATTTGATTGGATGATATGTGTTGTTGACAGGAATATAGAGCACAAGCATCCTGGTGTTGCATAGGCCTACATTAATAGTTTTAAACAATTAAAAATAATAATACCCCTGTAGTAATAATAAATTAGTCAAATAATGCATGTATAGATCAAAGCAATATAGTACCTAATTAACTTCTTTTTTTTTTTTCAAGGTATACACAATGAGAATTGACAAATTAGTAAAAAGGTCACAAACTTTGTATACTATAACACCTGTAGCAAAATTTTCACCATAATTAAATATTTTTAAAAATCATTAAAAATCAACCATACAACCAAATTTAATTTTGTAAACGTTTTTAATGTTATACCACTTGGTAGAATTTGTGATATCAGTATTGTGGACATCCAATCAAATTTAATTTTTTTTTAACATACCTAATGTAGCTGGTATCTGGGGGGTTCATTCACTGATGACATCGGCAAGCCGACTACATTCACTGAGAGACGCGCTTGGCGTTCCATAGAAATGACCGGCGGCTCAACTTGTCGGCGGCTCAACCGGTCATATCCCGCCTAGAGCCTAGCCTAGGCCCTGCCTGTGCCTAAGCCTACCTGAATTTGCAGTTGTATGTAAACAATATGCTAAGCTGCTAAACACCATCGCTGCTGAAGCAATCCCACTGGCTTGATTCACTGGCTTATTAACACACCGACTTAATTTTCTCGAACATGAAGATATTTCTCTACATCGCGTTGCGCTTTTGAGTACTGAGGTGTAACTTCTAGCAAATCGACAAGACAATAATTGTTTAGCCTGTGAACTTTTTACTCTAAAAACATTTGATATCAATTGTACCAAACGCGTGCACGTCGCCATCATTTTTTTTATTTTTATGAATAGGATAGTGCCCTCTCGATAGAGTTTGTCACCGACATCATGAGAGGGCGCTAGACTTAAATTTTCTGATTTTTTGCAGCTTTTCTGCAGAGCTGATAGAGGGTACCTAGCAAAGATCTTTAATATAATATAATATAATATTTATTGAAATTACACTTTTACATCAGTGGCAGCACACAAGAAAGTGGCGCAGTCAAACTTAAACTAATGAACAAATAGTAAAAACAACAACTTAAAGCTAAACAAATGAAAGAACTTATGTTCAAAGAGTAAAACAACAACTTAAAGCTAAACAAATGAAAGAACTTAACTAAAGAATATACAACTTAGATCTAAAATAAATCATGAACATCCCTCACCCTCCCCACACAAATAATGTACATAATACACATTACGTGCATACAGTACCCCACCCAAAAATGTGTGTATATATCTTTATAAACACAAGATATAGCGTTCTCCGCGATTTACGCGTAACAAATAGAAGCGTCGGTCAAGGTTCAAAAGTTTCCAATTTAGCAAGAGGGCGCCATTCATGCGCTATTATACCAAAGAGAAAAAGTAATCAGTTTTGGAAGAGGGCATCCTATCTGTTGCCCTGGATCTGAGATGGTTCCTGTTCTGCTGTTCACAGGATTGATACCCAAGGTAAAGTCGCGCGGTGACGGTATGGTCAGAGCGGTCAAGGGTCAACATTTTCCAATTTAGCAAGATGGCACCATTCATGCCTTATTACAGAATTTGCACGCGTAAACCGCGGAGAACGCTATCTTGTGTTTATATAATCTTTGGTACCTAGATAAAGAGAGTTTAGCCAACTTCGCGCATGGCGCCATGTTGTTACCAAACAGCGTGCGCGCGTATATTCTGTTCATGAGGACAATTCAATTAAGTGATTTTAATGTATCATCGTAAATGTCATATGTAATCATATTTACCTAACTTTGAAATTAATTAATCAACGCGCTGTATTATTTTGAGAAAATAAAGTGAGGACGATTCTTTATATTTCGTTACGATTATCTTTTTGTTTTGAAAGTCTCATCCAGGCCTACGCCTAGTCTCTCGCAGGCCTCTCTATCTAGCCTAGCGAGGCTTCCTAGCCTCTAGTGAGAACATTTTTATACAATAAATTTGCCTAGGCCTAATCATAATCAAGAAGCTAGGCCTATGTAAGTAACAAAATATCTATCCCCACCCATAGTTTCCATTACAACCCTGTTATAGAGTCATTACATTTGGCTTTATTTAGTACTCAGCTGGACCATAGAGCTGGACTACTAATACCTCCTATGAGGGGCTTGCACATTAATCATATAATTTTTCAGTGCAGCATCTATGACAAGTAGAAATAATATTTTCCATATCGAAATTCTGTTTCTAAATAAAATGAGCATTATAAGTTTTGAGATACAGTATTGTAAGGAAAAATTATTGCTTTTATTTTTAATTTTCTTTTTCTACTTTTTTACAATTATAT